AAATATAATTTTGAACAAATGTGACATTTATTCAACTTTATATGAAAAACTTGACCTACTCTGTGCTTTCATGTGCCTTATAAACTTTCCACTTTTCTTGTTGCTAGAGTTTATGTGTAAATAATTATTTGGAATTGAGTAACTGTGATGCCACCAAACTTCCTAGTTACATTTATATTGAATTGCGAAACACTAACCCCAAACTCCCATTACTGTTTTTTTTTTTGTCTTCTTACCACTTGCAGCATGGTAGGACCACTACACCTGAGACTGTTATGTAACTGCTGTCAAAGGGCTATTCATGCTTTGTGTCTGCACCTATGCATTTGTCAAGTGACGTAATTTTCATCATTCTCCCAGGTCTGCAAGGGTCTGCTTGATCTCTGTGCTGATGACCACGTGCAGGCCAAAAATTTGTGTTTTCACAGACTGTCCACTCAACAGAAAGCCCCAGCTGCACATGTACCTCATGGTTGGAAAATGTCAGCATACGTGGACAGAAAGCAGACCCTCTATTCAAAGTATGAATAGGAACGCAAACATGCTCATGTATGCACGAGGGTATGGGCAGAGCATGATTAGCCCTTCAGTCTCCCTTCAGTGGAATTTGAGATTGTGCTATGATTGACCAGATTAGTTATTTGTTAAGGACCTGGCCCACTACCTGAAGATTTTTGCCCAATTGCTCTGACCTTTTAAACCACAGTTTTGGTTTGAGAATAGCCTGTGTACACATACAGGATCCTACATTTGATAAACCAGGTTGTGTGATCTGGATGTCACCCACAGTAGTGACACTTAGAATGTATGTGATGCTCTGCACAGTGGCCCGGGTAGGCAGTGATGGCATAGTCTGCTGGCATTTTAGAAAAATTTTCTTGTTGCCTAAACAGTGATTCAGCAGGTATATGACAAGCCTGTCTGAAAGCCTTCATTGCAGTAAAATGTGTCTGAAGGACATTTGTACACAGCACTTCTTGTCAGTAGGATGAGTGTCACCACCAGATAATGACCATGACCTGAGTTATTAGTCTTTCACACCAGGAGCCCCCCCACCCAAGGATTTTCATCTTGCTCTTTTGTTTTAATCTGCAAGTGCAGGATATGAGTGAGATTAATTTCTTAGTCTGTGGATTTCACTGTTTGGGATTATATGGCTTTGGTCAGTGAGCGCTGAATTTTCCTCCACCTCCATCATCCTGCTTTCAGTTTTATGTACACTATGCATCTTTTAAAGCCAGGAAAGTGCAGAATTTTAACAAATACCAGCATCAGCTCCATGTCTTTTGCCATTACAAAAAGAGCAACAACATGTGTGATGTGCCTGTAAACCTTATAAAAACAGTGGTAATGTTAGGATTTCTTTCTCTGTGTACCTTGCTATATTCTAGTGTTTGGGTGTAATTGTTGGTGTTTGTTTTCACTCAATGTGCATTATTAAATGGTTTGGCTTCAGGTGATAAACCATCCTGCCTTTACTGCCACCATCTTTCAGCAGAGTTAACCATATACATCATCAGTGCATCATTTTGTGCTTTTAGTACCCTAGTCACATTAAGGATGCTCAACTCTGGCTTCTTACTGCACGTTTAGCCACAAAGTACCATTGCACCATTGATATCATGAATCCTCTTGTGCTGTGACTAATCAATTTGTGAAAAGTGACACTGATGAACCCAGTGCTTCTCAGAAAACATTAAACTTGACCAAGTATTTAAAGGTGATAACGCAAAGCTGCTCTACACAAAAGATGGTGGGAATCGGAGGCCATTGTACCATATTATTTTTAAATTATGACTGACACTTTTAGAGATCTAGTGGATAACATGTTCTTAAGGGAAAAGGGGTTATGTCATCCCACTGTAGGATTAGTGTCTCAGCATTTAACTTTAATGTTGAACTTGGTGATCTGCATTTTCTGGTTCCTTGTTCCATCGTTTTTAATGCCGGCATTGTAATAAAACAATCAAAACGGCATGTCTGCCAATACATGGGCCTTGGCTTGTCTCATGTTCTGCACTTGAAGATGTAGCACTCATCCACAATGGTGTCTTCATCAAGCAACTGATTCTTGTAATATCAATTTAAATACAACCCCAAATCAGTAAAATTTGGGAGGGTATATAAAATTAAAACTGAAAATGGTGATTTGTAAATCATCTGTGTCCTGTTTTACATTGAAAACAAGACAGCAGCACATTATTTGATGTGATACGTCATCAGTTTTATTCTTGGGTCTAAATAAACACTCCAATTCTGATGCCTGTAACACATTCCCAAAAAAGTTGAGACAGTAAAGCATTTACCATGTTGTGATGTTGCTGTTCCTTTTCACAACACTTAAAAGATGTTTAGGGACTGAGGACACCAAGTGACTAAGCAGTCAGGTGTAATATTGTCCCATTCCTCGCGTTGTAGACCATTAGTGGCAGCTTTGGCATTATAGCTTTGGTTGCTTTTACTTATTTCAGGTGTTTTGTGATTGAGCAGTCGATCATTTTTTTTTC